TCTCTTCTCCAGACTAAATAAAACCAGTTTCCTCAGCCTCTCCTCATATGTCATGTGCCCAAGCTCTGTAACTATTTTCATTGCTCTCCACTGGATTCTCTCCAGATTGCCCACTGTAACCCCCACTGTAGTGAGGGGCCCAAAACTGGACATAGTACTCCAGATGTGGCCTCACTAGTGCTGAACCATAAAACGTAACTAAGTCCTTACCATAAAACCCAGATACTTAGTTTCTGCCTTACCCAGGCCACATTTTTTTTGCAAATCTTTGGTATAAGATTTCCTTCTTGACTTTCTCGTAGTCCCATCATGGATCCATAGGGTACTTGGGCTTTCCCTATTAACAAGACCCCTAACTGCCCAGCTCATCGGGACTTCTTCAGCCTGGCCACCAAGGCAGCCCACTTGAAACTTTCCAGGAATACCATGTATCGACATCTTTGGTATTCTCAATTTGACCGCATCACTCGGGTGCCAAGCTTCTTGCTGGATCTAGCTTTACTCCAAAACCAACTGTCATGCCAATTGCTGCTGCTGTTGCTGGAAGACTTGTCCCACCAAGTGTAGCATCTGCTGGACAGGATCCACACTGGCTGTCACCGCCACCACAGGAACTTCCATTCTTTTGGTTTCCTCTCGGCCATCGTTGATATTCCCAGCCAATGCACCAGCTTGTCGAGTAGTCACTGGATATGGGGGCGTGCCTTTGCACCTGATTGGCATTCACTGGTCCTCTCCTGCACATTGTGACCCTCTGTCGGTCTGCTTGGGGTGGCTCCCTCTCTCTTTCTCTATTCCCTCCTGCCATGACTTTGATGTTTTGAGGATGTAAATGAAAAGGGAGGGGTGATGGCTTCCCTGCCCCAACAACGACTGACCGCTGGTTCACGCTGCTGAGTTCCATGCCAGCAAAAGACAGAACAAAAAAACCGAACAAAAAAGAAAATGTATTGACCATGCTGAGTCCCCTTCTCAGTTGTCAGGGTCAAGACAACCCCTTCTACTTTGCTTGCCTTCTCCCAGGCGCTTGAATGTCGGTGCCACAGGCAAATTATTTTTTGGTTTTTTTTCCTTCCCTCTATAATTGCCAGTGTGCGTGGCTTAATTGGCTGCCCACGATGGTTAATCAGCACACAAAAACAAGCCGAGAGAGAGTGTCCCTTTTCACTCTCTCTCTCACTCTTCTTTTCCTTTTAATGAGGACTCCTCCGAGCCCACAAGACCAGATCAGTCTCTTGCCCCATTCCTGGGGACTTCAGTCTTGGGCTGGGTATGGCAACCGTCCTACCTGCCTGTCGTCATCCACGCTTACTCGCCTCTCCTCTCCAGTTCCCTGCTCGGCCCCGGATATTGATGCGGCCACTGATTCCCACCAATACCACCTCGTCTGGTGAGGCGGAAAGCAGGTCTGGAGTGGACTGGGAGCTCCCGCTGTAGTGTAAAGGTGTTATTTTAGCTGGACCTATGCTCATGGTATCCTCTGGTTGTTCGCACCCCCTACTTCAGGAAGGATGTGGAGAAGCTTGAGAGAGTCCAGAGGAGAGCCACTCATATGATCCAAGGCCTGGAAGGAAGGCCGTATGAGGAGAGGCTGAGGGACTTGGGACTCTTCAGTCTGGAGAAGAGAAGGCTCAGGGGGGACCTGGTAGCAGCCTACAGCTTCATAAGAGGGGTACATCAGGACCTGGGAGAACACCTGTTCACCAGAGGTCCCCAAGAGATAACAAGGTCTAACGGCCATAAACTCCAGGATGGCCGATTTTAGACTAGAAATAAGAAAAAAGTTCTTTACAGTGCATGTGTCCAGGGTCTGGAACAAACTCCCCTCAGAGGTGATGCAAGCACCTACTCTGGACTTCTTAAAAAGCAGCTGGATTTATTTCTTGCTGGGGTCACTTGATCCCAGCTGACTTCCTGCCTATGGCGGTGGGCTGGACCCAGTCTCATGAGGTCCCTTCCAGCCCCTAATGTCTATGAAATCTACCCTTTTGCTCTTAGGTATTTCTCTATACTGCTCTACCCTGTACCCTATTCCAAACCTACTCCCTCTAGTTAATAAAGTTAATAAAGTTCTCCTCTATACCCAGCGTGGGAGACTTATTGGGAGAGTGTCTAGATTATGCCTGGGGGTCACCTTGGTCTGGCTGACTAAGGGAGACCACTGTTTGTGCTTCAGACTAAGGGAAGCACCTCCAAGTTCTTGTAGTGAGTCGAGTACCCCTTTCAGGTCCATAAAACCTGTGTACCTCACGAAGCACAGAGCCACTAACAGACTGAGACTCATGAGTGGTGGCAGCACTACCCCTAGGCTTGTGGGTGTGCTCCAGGAAGGGGGTTGGCCAGACATGGGACACCCCCGGGGAGGCACTCAGAGCTTGGTAGGTGGGTGGCTCAGTGGAAAAGCACCCCCCCCTACTGGCCTGCTGCAAGGCCTATAAGATATAGCGCGTGTGTATTTTATTTTAATAATGGCAGTAGATGAAAAGTTAAAATTAATTCCTTTTCTTTTTCTTCATAATCAGGAAGTAACTTTTTTCCTACTGCCTGATCTGTCCTAGCTTCTGGCAATGGGAGTTCAACATTGTGCCTACTCCATTCTTCTAAATGAGCAAAAGCAGACTAATGGTTCCATTATAGCTGCTCATCTCCCTTGCAGTTACCAAGGAGAAATGCAGCAAATGTAGGCATCTATGTGAGTGCAAAGATGGACAGTCTAGTTCATGCACTGTCTCCCCACATATGCCATAGTAAAGAGACAGTACAGTCTTCTAAACTAAATACAGTAAAAGCCGTGTTATCTGGCACTTTATTACCTGACATGATGGTTGACGTGGCAAAAATGAAACCGGAAGTCCCACTTCCGGTTTTGCCAAATCCCACTTTGCCACAGCCTGGGCCAAAGCAGACTGTGCAGGGCCTCCCTCCCTGTCCCCCGGCACACTAACACCTGTGCAGGGCCCCTCTCCCTGTCCCCCAACACACTGATGCCAGGAAGTGAAAGCCTAGAGTGAAGGCCTGGCGCACTGGATGCGGCAGGAGGGGCGGTGGCCCAACCAGGTAACCGGCAAATTTGGTTATCTGGCACCCCTCATTCCCTATGGGTGCCGGATAACAGAACTTTTGCTGTACTAATGAAAAATCACATAAGAATCATAGCTGTGTTTACTGTATTTATTGATCTATATGTATCTGTAATTCACAGGCTAAAATTAATAGGGTCAAATTAACCACATTGAAAAACCTCACATAATGAACAAATTTGACAGCATTATTTATGTATTCAAATTTGAAATAGCATTATACAATCAGTGACTTATTTCTCCATTTCAGTTCTACGAATAGTTTGATGAAAACATGGACAATCAACGGGATACCATTAACAGATCAACTTGCAATGGAATTTCTGTTCCTGAAAAGAAAATAAACTCCTTAGTGGCTGAAAGTCATGGGATACAAATTTTAAAAGTACTGCAAAGGTTCAGAGAACAAAATATTTTTTTTGACTTTAAAATACTTGTAAAAGATGAAATTATTCCTTGTCATCGTTGCGTGCTGGCAGCATGCAGTGACTTTTTCAGGTAATGTTGCTTGTAGTATGATTTTGAAGGGAATGGATATTTTTATGTTCTTGGTAGGGAAAATATAACCATATATATTTATAAAATAGATCAGCATGACTTGTATTTATTCTTAGTTTTGAGTATTATATTAAAGATCGTTAAATTTATGCATGTAATACATATGTATTATAACCATATATGTAAGCTATGTATACTTTCATTAGGATTCTAATCTGGGCCTAAATTTAGACATGCATATTAGAAAAAGTAGAATGGCTCTGAATCTGAAGTGCACATGTCAGCCTACAATCTAACAAGTAAATATACTTTCCTAACTACTTATTAAGCATAGTGGAAAGGCCAGGCTTATGTGTATTCTGTATCTACATAAATGTCCACAAAATGGAACATGGGTTTGGAGGTCCTAATACTCACATCTCAGACATTGTTATTGTAGAATGGCAACAGGCAGATCATGAATATATTTTATATTATAGTAAATTAGTCCACAACATTATAGAATAAACTTCATAATAAATTTTACAATTTTTCTGATGCGTTAAGAAGGGAGATGTTTGGTTTAAATGTAACTTAAAATCTAAGGTTGATTTTTATTTTTTTCTTATTTTTTACAAATTTGTCCAAATGTCAAATTCAGCACCCAGACAATAAATGGGTTGGTCAACTTTCCTTATGGTACCAGGATTTATAAAGGTTAATGAATTATTTTTGCTCATCCATATAAAGGATATAGCTTTTCTATTACAACATGACTAATCTTCATTACCAAAGAATCTTGTTAATCTTTGTTCTAGTAAGGCACAAATATGCAAATCTACACTGAAAGTATATTTCCAGGTATACTGTTCACTGAAGCACAAAACATGTTTTTCTTTGCTGAGGAATTAAAACTACTGAAAATGAGGTAATATTATCAAGAAGGCAAAAGCGGAGTAACATATCATTGCCTAGCCCAGCCCCTGCCATGAACTGAAGCTCTGAGATGCTCAGTGAGTACATGTTGAGACTTTTGCTACTTACTCTTCCTACCAGCTGCTTCTCCTGATGCTTTCACTGAAAACACAGTTCTTATGCCAAATCTCTGAGTGAAGAGGAACTGGCTGGCAACACTACATGGAGCAGAAGTTCTTTAGAAAAGTTACCTCTATAATTCTGCTTCCCACCTCTTTCTGCAGCAGTTCCTATGAAAGCTACCCCTGTCCCTCCTTGACAATCAAGAGTAACGGGGAGCAAGTAACGTGCTCACCAGGTGTGTCTACATGTGCATTTACTGCGCAGTAAATTATTGCACAGTATGTGGTTTTTAGACCAGCGTCTACAGATGTAGCCATTACAGTACAGTAATGCTGTGTGTGCACCAACCTGGGAATAAAGTTACTCTCAAGTCAATTCGCACAAACGGGGTTACTGCACAGTAGCTATTCAGGAGTAAATTTGCTACCTGCATCATGTGGGTAGCAGATTTACTCCCAAGTCAGCGTAAGTTGCCATCGTTACTGTGCAATAACCTAAGTTACTGTGTAATAATGATGCATGTGTAAACACTCCCACTGCCTACTTACTGAGAGGATAGGATGAGGGGCTGAAAGATGTGGGTCATTTTTTCCTTCAGCAACTGGAAGTCCATCACCAACTTATTCCTCTTTTCCTGAAGAATTCTGAATTATACACAAAGGCAGCACTTTCTCAAGAACTATTGCTGAAGAAAAGAGAAACAGTGTAAGAAGAAATATTTCTTCTTCTTCATTCCTTCAGCTACTTCCTACCTCACTTTTCTTAGGCTCCCTACATTAGCTAATACGGATTATTGAGGTATTATTACATATCAAGTAGTCTAGGTATAAGCAAAACATATCACGGTATATTTCACAGAATATCCATGTTGTTTAAATATTTTAGAACACCATGACCTACAATCAACTGTGGCATAAATAGGTGTAATCCAATAGATTTGCACTCTCTCATACAGCTGAATTTGGTCCCCTATATTAAAGAACATAGCACAATGGAATGCAAAGTACATGCAAGAAGTGTGAAGGAGATATTAGTTACAATTTAATGTTCATTTTGTTGCTGTGCCACAGAGTGCTGCAACCCTCACTGCTTTCACTCAAGATGTAATCTCTTAATTGCAATAAATTTCTGTTGATGGAGGATTCAGTGCAGCAGTTATGGGCTCATTGTAATATGACTCTGGGCATATGCAGATGGTCTGAGTAACCTGGAACTCAGGAAAGTTCCAATTAAAAAAAATCCTCCCTGCATATTGTTTGTAGGAAAAATCCAGGAGCCTAGCAGGAAGTTAAGGATCCGTGTGTGTCAGATAGACCCTACTGCTTTATAAACTAGGCAGCAAGAAACCAAGGACCTACATGAAAAAGAGAGGCTACTCTTGTGCTAGAAACTCAACATGAGTTTCCTAAATACACTGTGGAAATGTAACCTGGAAATGAAGGAATTAGTTTGGAAATGCTTTAGCCTGAACACATCAGTGCTGCAGACCCTACTCTGTGGTGGTGACATTTTAAAATTAAATCATTTGGAACAATGCATCATAGAATGACAGGTGAGGATGGGTCCCGTAATTTTCCATCCTATGTTCCCTCCCTCTCTCCCACTGCATTCTATTAGTTAATATTATTATATGTTCCCATGACTTTCTGTTTCTCTTCACCAAGTCCCATGTTCCTATCTGTTTTTTCTGACATCCTGTCCTTACCTTTTCACCATCATCCACCCAGTTGACAGGCTTTTAACTGGAAAAGTATTTTTGTCTCAGCTGTCTCTTTTAACCCAGAACACAAATTTAAATACTTCTTCTTTCAACAGAGTATTTAAAAAAAAAAAAAAAAAAAAA